CGTAGAAGTGCCAGTTCCTCTTAATAGAGTGCCCCCGGTTTCCAAATTGTTACCTTTTTTTCTCTCTCAAAGAACTGACCTCAGTGCTGGAGGGTGAGGTGAGAGAGAGAGAGGTTGACATTGCCAGTCAGCACTTGTCAGTACTTTGTTAAGGCTGCATCTGCTCCAGGAGGTCAGGGTGAACCTTTCTGCCTCAGCCCCTGCTGCCTGCAAATTTGGACCATAGATCGTAGCAGACTAAGCCATATTTTCTCAGTACGCAGCTGCAACCTTAGACTAGACAGCCTTTCAAACAGAGGATGCCTTCAGAAGGACTGTCTACTGTAAAGTAGGACACATGGCCGCCCTACTAGGAACAGTTTTAAGAAAGCGGATTGTTTGGTGACAAATTTGTTTTGTGATGAGAGTTGCATATGATTTCTCTGTAAATATATGAACTTAGACCTTTGATTTATCTACAAAGTACAGCTTGTTCAGGCATTACTAAATCTGTAACTTTGAACATGATTATAGGGGACCACCTAGCTCCATCTTAGAGAGATTCCTGCTGACATGTAACCTCTTCAGATAATAATGGATTTTAGGCTTATATCAGAATGAGGGATGGAGGGCTCTGGTAATTTTAATTTCCAAAGTTTCAGAATGAGAATGGATATGCATTTTCATATGCATTTCTCCTGTCTTGTATGTTTTCCAAATGCAGCTATCTTCACACGCAATTTCCTCCACATTAAGTGTCTTATTGTTGGATATTTTCATGAATACATACATTTTAGCACACTCTGCTCTAGATAGTATATGAAGTTTTGATTTTTTTTTAAAATTAGAGAACTATAGCATAAAACTCAGAGATGTGCAAGTATCAAAATACTGTATAATTATATTTATATTAGCATAGGTTTGCATAGGTTCAGACTGAATTCCTCCCCCATCCTTTCTGAGGGACACAACTTGTGTGCTTTAAAAGCTTAGAATTGCAGAGCTGGAAGGGACCCTATGGATCACTGAGTACTGCCCTGGTCAAGGAGGCACAGTGCGGGATCAAATTCCCAACCTCTGACTCTACGACCAGAGATATCTAAACCACTGAGCTATCCTGAGATTGACACAATGCTGCGGGAATTAGCCAATACACATTTTTGTAATGGACTTGGATCATGGTAACAGCAACCAGAATCCTTCTTGATATTTATGTATATACAAGAAATTCTGGAGTTTGCTTCAACTTTGTTGTTGTTGTTTAGTCGTTAAGTCATGTCTGACTCTTCATGACCCCATGGACCAGAGCACACCAGGCCTTCCTGTCTTCCACTGCCTCCTGGAGTTTGGTCAAATTCATGTTGGCAGCTTTGATGACACTGTCTATCCATCTTGTCATTTAGCTGCATTTAAACGACAGAGGACAAGGGCCCCAGTATGTGGCAGATGTATGTCAGGTGTGCAGTCAGATGTGTAATTGTATTGCTGCTTGTCAGTTAATTGTGGGAACTTCCACCATTGTTCTAGCCAGTGTATCACTACAAAATATAATGTTTTCATAAATAAAAAAGTATCTTCATGGTTAATTTAGACTGAAACTTGCCTCGTACTTCCTAGCAAGATTTTCATTCAAAAAAAGGGCAGCATTTGCTTCTGTGTAATGTATGACTGAACCGATTAGAAATCAATCTTGCTTGTAACAGTGACAGTTGAAAACAAAGGCTAATACTTTTTGCTATGAGCTGATCAATTTGCTTTATCTAGAATGGTCAATGGCATTTTACAGGACTTATTATTGACATGAAGAATTGTGTTACTCATTTCTGGTACAGACAATAACACCTGTAATCGTGGCATCATAGGAGAACCAAGATGAAACTATGCTTTCTTTGTTTTACGTGGCCATAAATTTAATCTAGAAATAAATTCTGCGACATGTCCCTATATTCCAGTGATAAAAATGGATAACCTGAATACATTTGTAAACTAGGATTCAGTCACAGACTAATGAATATGCCCTATATTGCCCTCCCTTTACTGAAAGTCTACATAAAAGCAGTTAAAGATTAAGATCTGTCTTAAAAGAAAATGCATTTGATTTTTTTTAAATAATGAACAATGTCTTTATAAAGGCAGGGATAAAACATAAATTCAGCAATCATATGTCTAATTCCCTCACTAATTGGGCATTTAACACATAATTTGGTTTGGACCTTTTATTGGTATTCATAAAATATAATAACCTATAGTCACGATCTCATTAGGAACATTGAAATAAGCTGCATCATTAGCTTGTGTAATAATTGCAAAGTATGTACCATAGAATGATAGCACTTTCATAATGGAATCTCAATTTACTGTAGTTAGATTCTTCAGGCATACTGCTTGCTTAAACGGATATTTAACACTCTTCTGAGTGCTATGATAAGTTCTCAAAACTAACTTCTGAGGATTCTTGAAGGTGTTTTGAAATAGGAGGACTGAAGAACAATACAATTCCAAAGCTGTGGTTTGTTCACCTTGCAGGTCCATTTTATTACTTGATTTCTCCATATCAGAAAATCAGAGTACTGTAATGAAAACACAGAGCTGTATTCTGTTGAGTCTTTACTCAGTGAAAAGCCCTACTGGTATGGTAACACAGGGCCATGCATTTGCACTAGTGTTGCTCTTGTGTAAGCAGAGGGTAGTTTTTCTTTATTAAGATCACTTTTTGCACAAACAATGTGAACCTATGTTATTGTGCTAGGAATACTCTGCAATATCACTCAGCAATACGTCAGTAGGATATTGGCCACAAGCATTGCTAGGTAATTGTAACAGATTTATCTGGAGGTCAAACTAAACAGTACAAATTAAAGGATTGTAGAAGTGATGCTCCTTCAGGTGATGAAAGGCATCTATTTTTCACAGCATATGAGTTTCCATATGAGTGTGTGTCTCACATTTAGTGTGATTTGTTTTATGATTCATCTTTGGAAGGTGAACATGGGCTCAAACTGAAATTCTGATTGACAAAGCATCTACTACACCTTTGAGGAGTACCCACTGCACCAGGAAAAACAGGTTAACCATAGGAAACATGAATTCTCCTTCACGTCTGTTTTGATCCAAACTCATCCCCACTCCGGTACAGGCTAGCCAGACAACTCAGGCTTGTTTTCAATAATATGGTATTATAATACAGTAATATTGTAAGTGTTCCCTGTAATTGATGTCAATGTCCTACAACAGATTGTAGCACTTTTTAAAAAGTGTTTAGATTCTTCTGAATATCTTACTGGTTACTTCTCAGGACTGGCCTATGTACTATTGGACATCACAACATCCCTGGATTTTATCCTATTACATAAGAAAGGCACCCAACAAGTTCAGTATGAACTTCAATCATATAGTCGTGCCCCGCTTTACGATTATCCCATTTAATGACGAATCCACTTGATGATGAGGTTTTTGTGATCGCTTTTGCGATCGCAAAACGATGGTTTGACTGGGGTTTTTCCGCTTTGCAATGATTGGTTCCCTGCTTTGGGAACTGATTTTCACTTTACGACGATCAGCAAACAGCTGATCGTCAGGGTTCAAAATGGCCACCGGCTGAAGAAAATGCCCCCCTGCTATGTTTAGGGACGGATTCCTCACTGCATAGGCATGGAAAATGTCCGCCCCATGGAGGATCTTTGCTGGATGGTGAGTTTCCAGCCCACTGGAACGCACTGAGCGGCTTTCAAGGCGTTTCATTAGGGTTTTTTTATTTCGTTTGATGTTTTCGCTCTACAGCAATTTCGCTGGAACGAATTAATGTCGTCAAGCGCGGCACCACTGTATCTGAGGCAGGCCTCTAATTTGTGTATTAAAGGCCTGGTGCTATTTTGCTATTGGTAGTAGAATGGGATCTCCTATCTCCAAACCTAACCTGTAATTTAGATAACAGGCTAAAGGAACTTTGATAGGACACATGGCATGGTTTCAGGAATATCAGCTGTGTATGATAGGTCACTAAAACTTACAACTCTGGATATTTCTGAAACCATTAGAAGAAAACGTAACATTTGTAATACCTAGTCACTAACTGCTCTAGCACCTTAGCATGTTCACAGGCTTCGCACAGACTTCTGGATACAACTCAACAATTACTTATCATCTATGAAGTAATAGCTGCCAATAACCAATCTATCTTACAAGATATTTCCTTTGTTGCAATCATAAGGTTTAATACGAAAAAGCCTTGTTGATAATTTCTTTCATGAGTGAAGTTTGTTCAACAATGGCATACAAGAAGGTGGTTGACTCACAAAACTATTCTAATTTCTTTCCTCGTGCTGACTAATTTTGAATAGTTCAGTGTGACAGCACATGTTTAGGATTGGGGTTACAATCAGGAATGTTCCCAAGCTGGCAGCTTCTGGCCCACAGAAGAATGTATCCACATCTGATTCTGTGGGCCTAAAGCTCTCTATTTTTTAATTGAAAAAGGAAAACTGTACTCCTGGAATCCCCAGGAAATATATTACTTTCTTAAAACATGACACCATGCCTTACTTGTTTTTTAAAAAAATAGGTCTTAAGAAACTGGGAGTAGGTAGTTTTGGAGATGTGGTTTTGTCCATGATGTGGCCTGTGTAGGTGGCCTCCAAAGTCTTGGAATTGTGCAAAATGTCCAAAACCTTACATAAATAAAGGAAAAATAGTTACCACATAGACTGGGACCTCTTGCTGTAAGTCTCGTCTGCTAAAAATGTGGGGCAACACTGAAATGACTCATGTGCTAGCTATGAGAACTGTGGTGTGTGCTTCCATATGTTATGCCAAGAAAGGAGATCTGTGACCAGAGAAGCCTATTTTGTTTCATCAGCAAGCTTATAATAAATATATAAGTTCCCTTTCTGAGATAGAACAGTTAAGTGATGCTATGCCTTCCACACATGCTCATTAGGAGTGATATAACACTTAGGTCTAAAAACAAGAAAAATAAAACATCTCAATATATTGAGAATTAAAAAGATGAGCCTCATACTTACAGATATATCATCACTAAAATCTATTTCATCCAAATCAAGATATTCAGGGGCTTCCATTATTCTGAAATGCACATTCTTGTTGCTTTAGTAGGATAATACAGTTCTGTTTGAAAGAAAAAAAAAGAATAAGGCAGAAATTAACATGGTGTATTTAGAAATGGTGAAGACTGAAAATTGGCTTTGAGCAAGTTCTCTTAAAGCGCAACTCTGTGTTATAGGAATCCTTCTGGACAGAATCCTTCTGTCACAACTCAAAGACTCGGTTAGCAGTTTCCTCTTCTCAAGGCTAAATATTAAAGCATAAGGTTCAGCTCAAGGAATCCTGCAGGCAGGGAGGAAGGCAGCTATGCAGTCCATGAACCTTTCTGACCAAATCTCAGGCAAGGCTCAGAGGTTCCCTGAGGTGTCCTTTGCAGGCTAGGTGAGGGACTGCACAATTATCTGGGATGTTATCTTTTGAGGACTGCTGTGAAGTTGTCTCAAAAACTTGCTTAGCATATAAACATTGGACAGAAAATAGAATAAACAAGGAGTTCAATTGAATTAGGCTATATAGGTTATACCGTTTACAGCAGCTAGTGGTATTTTTTTTACTAAATTGTGTTCACAGTAAAGAACTATTTTGTGCATGTCTCTGCAAAATAGCCTTATTTCTGAACATTCATGTACATCATAGAATACTGTTAGTTGATCTGTTAAGCATACATTCCATATTTCTGTTAAAAGTAACACTTAATTAAGACAGCTAGAAAAGTGTCTTGAGGAAATGGCAACTGATTCACAAACAGACGAGAGAATTACAAACTGGAAAAATGTATACGCTGAACCAGATGATTATGAATTTTGGAAACATCGCTAGTAAAATCATCTAAGCACAACAATATGAACAAGTCTCAAAGAGCAAATAACACATGTAGTCTACACACACACACACACACACACACACACACATACACATGTGAGGCAAAACATCAGTCATTGTTTTGGCCAGTTGTTTTGTGAGAACCAAGCTTTTCAGAATGGTTAGCCAATGAGTGAAATCATCCACTGTCTGATGGCAGCTTATAAATATATGAATTAAAGACTCATGTTCTCTAAATTCATGGAGGGAAACCTGGCTGTTTTGCAGACAGATGAATTCTATTTGAAGAGCTGCCTGAAAATAACTCATAGAAAGCAATTGGAAATGTTGACTGAAGGGTTATGGGAGTATAGTCCAAATAAAGATCTTTTCCAAGTTCTGATATAATGGATCTTAAAGCATTTTCTGCTTTGACAAGCATTCAACTTGATCGTTGCAGCCACACTAAACGATTATTGCAACTAGCTTCTACTTTAACTCTCATGGTTCCATGCTATTTAGGGAACAGGTTTTGTAAGTGATCTTGGTGAATTGGTGCTAATGAATGAGACACCGGACATACCACAAGGCATGTGCCTCATTGCAGAAGTGCACAGTTAGTGAAGAAACTGGAACCTTGCTAGTTAGTACCTATTTATGACAGTGACTTTTCCAATTTAACTTATGTACAAGTAAACTACTAACAGGATTCTGCTATCCATTTTAATGAGAAATTCCTCCCAATGATCTCACTAGGGCTATGGGAGCTTAGGCCCACATAAAATGCAGAAGACCAAGAATGCATATCTTCTGTGCATATAACTACTGTTTAGCAAGGAAAATAATGGATGAAACTGCAGATTCATTGCTATGCAACTAATACGGCTATTTAAAGGATTGCGCTCAAAGCTGCCAGTGCATGGAATCTAAAATGCACAACAGTCCCCATCTGAGCTTCAGACAGAGAATTCTGTTTTTCCTGGGAGGTTTTGTTTAGGAGTATAAGGAGGTGATTTCCCCTCTTCTATTCAAAATCCTCTTGTATATATTTTGGTGGTTGGAAGTGGCACAGAAAAAAAAAGAATAAAATGCTAGAGCTATCTATTTTATTTACTTCTGAGAAACCAAAAAATAAAGATTTGTGGGAAGGGGACTACATTACTCTGTCAAAGCCAAAACAAATACAAATACATTGGGTCCCAACCTTGGGTAATCCAAGAGTTCTTGGACTGCAACTCCCACCAAGCACAGCTAGTGGTGAAAGCTTCTGGGAGTTGCAGTCCAAGGGCCTCTGGGTTACCAAGGTTGGGAACCACTGGTCTAGCAGAATCTTCAAGAATAACAAGTTCAATTTGGCATAATAAGCATTCGTTTCATTTAATGTACTCTGTTGATAATGGGAAATAAAGAGCTGCTCTTAATCTTGTTCTTGATGAACAGAAGAAACTTGCACTGAATGAGCTCTGGGTTATATTCTGACCCCATGGGAACATTAATGTACTGACCTAGAAATAGAATCAACATAAAACTTGAATTTGTATGTCTTGTATTTCTTGTCTCTGACTCCTACCCCAAATGGCACCAAACTGTGACAATCAGAGCTTTCCTGCCTCCTGGCTTTCCTGGCATGGGACATTTTTTTTATCCCTGTACATCAGGGGTAGGCAATTAATTTCTATGGCGGGGGGGGATGTAGGGGAACCCAAAAGATGACATCATTCCTGCATGTCAATCAAGGGATAGAGCAGGAGGGGCGGAGTCAGAGTGGCAGTTAGACAGCTGGGAGAGACAGTTAGAAGAGAGTTGGAATGAGATAGGGATAGAGAGAAGTAGGGACAAGAAGATGTGGAGAGAGTGCTAGGGTTTAGGAATAGATAAGAAGGGGTTAAGAAAGGAAATTGAAAGAGTAAAATATATTGAACAAGCAGGAATGAACACATAAGCATAACATAAGGAATACCAGTGATTGAATACATGATTTAATATATGCATACCTGACCCAGTTATATATTTGATTCTCCTTATGATTTTGTTCATTAATAAAAGAATATTTGATCAAACCCTTTGATTCCTAAATTATATGATCAGCTCCTATGTGTGTGGGACCTGAATTGGTATTAAGAGAATACCTGGTGGCAGCGAAACGGGCGTATTTACCTTTGTAGAGCCCAAAGATATAAAAGGCACAAAGGGGGATCGCCACAGGGGGCACATGAAAAATCTGAACTGTGTTCGGGGGCCAAACCAACTTTACTTAAAAATAAAATGAAACAGCGATGTTATGATTGTTTTTATTTTAAACTTGTTAATCTTCACAAATACTAAAGAGGTTTTTTGCGGTATGTTAAGGATAAACAACTGATCAACTTTAGACAAAAAGCTATGAATGGTTTTGATGTTCAAAACTGTCCGCGGCCAGAGAGGAGCGGCTCGCAGGCCGTATGTGGCCCTCGGGTCGCACTTTGCCTAGGTCTGCTGTACATTATAGTAGCTGGGGCAAAAAGTATGTCACTAAAAAAAGGGGGGAGGATGTTGAGACCTGGCAAATGGCTGAACTCCGAAACACCTTTATTACTTACTACTCACATAGCAATAACACAGATTGCCTATCTCATAGGCCTAGTCCTGTGAGAATGCTGTGACAAAATGAAGCTCAACGGGGCTAAGATTCCCCAACTCGCTAGATGAGTGAACAACCTGCAATTTTAACAGCAGCTAGCTACTTTTGGGATCTGAGAACTATAAATGTAGGCAATGCCTTTTAAAGCAACTTTCCAAGCTATGAAACATGATTAGTTCCACTTCCATTTTTGTTCCCTTTTTCTGCACTGGCAATCCTATTCAAATGTAATAATCGCCTTCTGAAAGATTTCCTGCTAAACATCAACTGCACTAATTAGTGCAGTTAAGCCTGCTATAAAACTAACTTTTCCATGCCTTCTAATACAGAAGATAAATTGGCATAAGTCTAATGCAGTTCTATAAAAAGTTATAAGGCCCAGTACATGATGACCGTGTTCAAACCTAAAATTAAATTATGGTTTAGCATTATGTGTGTAAGCTGCAGGCTGATGAGCAAACTCCTATTCTTTCCTTCTTCTGTGTTGGCTATAGAAAGATTTCAGTTTTTTTCCTTCTTTTTCCATTCAGCTATCCTTGGTCACACATGAAAAGCCATGGGATGACTTGTTGAAATCTAACCAGTAATAAGGATTTATGAACCTCCCTCTATCAACAAGTGGCCTCTTTCAGCTGTGGCTAACTAGTGACAAATCACAATTGGTATGTCCTTGGCTTATGAACTCTAACTTCTTTAAACCACATTTTTGTGATGTCCTAGCTCATAAGTGTGGCATTTGTCTGGCTTTTCTCCACCCTCACCTCCATAGGTGATCATCAAGACAGAAGAGAAACAACTAGAAATGCGGAAGGCAAAACACTGTTTGGTCTCACAGCTTGTGACTTAAAGCAGCAGGCCATGGTTAACACAAAACATGGTTTATCATCGTGTCTGAACCCATGCGGTCATTATGCCAAAAACTGGATAAACTCTTCTTAGCTTTAAACAAGAAGAGCCACATTCTAACCGTAAGTATTATCTTGGCTTGTTTCTCTGAACCATAGTTAAACCGAACCTTGGTTTGTCCAAGCTCACAGTTCAATGAATAATCACAGTTAATTGAAAACAGAAAAAAAGGTTTAGGATTTCCTTGTGACTGGACCAAAGAAAGTGAGAGGATTCAGACTTAAGAATTGTGTGTGTGACACTAGTTTAGTGTTTTGTTTGAGCCAGACTAACATACAAGTGTACATACGTATGACTGATTGGTCCTTCCTTCTTGTGAAAATGAAAGGTGACAAGAATGGGCATAACTGTCTCACATGCAGTGTGTGAATTGGTCCAAAGAATGATTTTTTATTTATTTATTTGGAAAAGGCATACGTTTATTTATTTATTTATTTATTTATCTGGAAAAGGCATACATTTCAACTTACAATGTCCAGGGAGTTTCACGCAACACACATAATCAAATTTAAGGTTTTTTTAAAAAAAAAATTCCTGCAATAGTATAACGTTTACAAGGCAATAGGAAGCAAGTTCAAGGAAATAAACAATCACACATAACAATGGGAAAGAAATAGTTAGGAGTCAGCTCTTTTTGCTTTTAATTCAATTTATTTGTTGATCCTTGTTGCAAGGAAAATAAGTACAGGTTTAGGC